AGTGATATTGCTGGCAATTCCAATGCGGATGCTTTAACCAAATAAGGTGTCTTAACAACATAATCGAAACATTTTAATTTGATTTTTAATAATATTATAATATGAACACTTTCGAGCTATGATAGTAAATATATCTCTACTATCATACAAACTATTAATTCCTTTTGTATATAAAAGTTATTTACAAGATGGCAAGGGGCAACGATATGAAAACACTTAACGATCTCATTGTAATTAGCCCTGCCTAAGAAACCATTTTTATGACTTTTACGCAGCGGTGAGGAATGCAATAAGAAGAAAGCGATAAATAACAGATAAAGAATTTTAGTAGTACTTTGTGAAAACTACAGTATTACTTTTTTGATCTACTCTTCAAATGGAATCTACAGGACAACCAGATCTGTGACACTCCACAAAAAACTGGAAACGTATACATAATACTAAAGTCATGTCATCAGACTTTCCTTTGAATAATTTAGTGAATAGAAATCAACTTAAAAGAATTGTGGAGGCCATATGGTATATACTCCATTACAGAGAAAAAGAAGTACGATAATAACCACACTTTTAATGAGCAATCTATTTCATCTATAATTACAACTTCTGCACACTATATTTCAAAAGGTACATACATATCTGATGTGAACGACTGCTCAAAAATGAACCTTGATATATTATCATATAAACAAATTGTAGATGTAGTATTAGTATCAGTACCAATAAAATCGCTACAGTTTCTTCGATTCCATAGATAAAGATTTTAGATTAAAAATAAAATTCTAATTGGAATTAAAGAGAACAAAAAAGCGTTCTTCAGAAGAAACAAAATTTAGCATATTTATTTTTATAAAATAAAATTTTCTAAATTTGATTAATTTTCGTTAAAAACATTATTCAATAGAAGAGATAAGCGATTGTTTATTTTTTTTTTGTTTCAATTTTTTTTAATAATTAAATTGTTGAAAACGTGAACAGATTATTTTTTCAGTAAACAATTTTTTATAGAATTGAAAATTCGTCATGTCTCGCAAGATTTTTATAGAATTTCTATTCTATTTTATTCTATATTTCAATTCGTAAGTTTTAATAATCTAAATAGATACTTCATTTAGATTTATACTTTATGAAGATTAACTGTGATTTTTTACCTTGTGTACTTATTTTAGTTTCTTGTATATTTACTATAGCTGATTAATAATGTGATTAATAAATGCTGATAAAATACGAAATACTTCGTACTTTGATATATGTTAGCCCTTGATTTTCTTGTTTAATCAGGAATAAGAAGATTTTAATATAATAACAGTTCTGAAGAATGTGATTTGTCTTTAAACAAATTATATACACATATGCTCCTGCACTGTCTATTTTCTTTTTCTTTTAAATAATTGGGTTTTGGTATTTTACCGGATCATGGAAACAATAATTTCAACACATATCCTTTAATATTTTATTATGATTGAAAAAATTGACAACTAGAATGCGAACTAACTGTTTCTGTAGATAGCTTCCCTTTACTTCCTGACAAGACCATGAAGACACATTCACTTCATATTTCTTTAATATTTACTAACAATCTCTTTTATATTTACCAACAATCTCTTTTTCTATATTTATTTATTTTCCTTATTATTTACAATTTTATAGATTTAAAATAACATTAACAACAAATGTTCGTTGTTCTTAATAGTTTTGCCTCAAATGATAGATACAAATTAGGTTAGATTGAGGTGACAGCCTGATATATCAAAATTCACTGAAGCATAAATGTTGGTTAATTGTGATAGCCGACCATTGAAGTAGTATAAATCATCAAACAGCGTTCCTTTGAGAAGGCACGCCTCCCTTATTCAAGTAGAAGGGAACAACCAGATAAGTCTATGACCTGGCTCCGATCCTAATTTTAAAATATTACAGCTTTGTCAGGTCAGTTAGGAAATTTTCCCAAAAGATTTTAAATATTTTACTAACTAATGATGAACAAACTAACAAATTTATTGAAGTACAGTTTACTTTTCATCTGTAGATCCACAGTCCACATAAAAGTTTTTAGAGGCTAACAAAATCTTATTACTTATCTTCCTAATATGCAGTGACATGTGAGCACCCAGACCGTAGTACTGAGTTGATTCCACTTTAGTTGAAGCAGCTGACTGGTAAAAATTTTTGTTTAATTTGGACTAGGTGAGCTTTGTAATTTGACAAAAATCTTTACGTTCCCAGATTTTCTTTGTCAATCTTATGTTATATTGCCAATTTAGCCGTTATAAGAGGAATACCAGTAAAAGAAACGTAAATTTCGCAGAGCGTTCCGGTTTTGACAAATCCGACTGCTTGCCGAGAAGATTGCGATATGCATGTTAGAAATCGAATAGTTTAAGGCCCAATTTGCTGCAGAGTATAATTGATACAAAAATGAATAAAAATAAGAAAAAGTAAATTTCCATCCCTGAGAATCTCGTAACGAGGCGTACATATATAGAAGTTGTCGCTAAAAAACTTAGAGATTATTTAAAATTAAAAAAAGATTACATTTTTGTTCTTAATCGATTGTTTTAAAATCGGTGCAGATATCTACAATATTATTTTAGTACATGATGTTAAGAGTTTTTTTTCTGATAGTTTTTCTTGAAAAATAGATTATAGATATATTTGATACAATGTAATTATGCTCAAGTTAAGAATTAACAGTACCATTACTAGTGTTCTTAATATAGTACATGAGTATTCATTTATGTATACACAAATATTCCCTATTTGTTGAATGATTTGATTACTAAATGCCGCCTCTTATCAGTTTTTACAGCAATACAAGTACATATTATATTAAAGTATGTAATTATTTTAATGATATCTATTTGTGATCTTTTCTATATATTTTACACAAAGTCTCCAAGCGAAAAAATTACTGACCTGGCTTAATGACGTAGTCTTTATTATAAATAAAAAAACCTCAAAGTGTTAAGCACATGATAATACCATGGATGGATGTATAAAGCGCTGTGAACGAGATTATCTATGAAAATAACAAGTGTCAATGTTCTTGTCTTTTCTTGAAATAAACTATTCAGATCGTCAATATTTGAACTACTGAAAATGAGAAGATAATACTATTAGTAATAGGTTTTATAAGTACATAAATATGCATAATATATATATATATATTGAAATTTTTGAATGGAAATTTTTTAAATTGTAAAGCGAAAATATTTATTTATTAGTTAATAATAGTTACTTATACATATTCATTTATTAATTATATTTTATGGTACACATATTCTAAGAATGATCTAATTTTTGAAATTGTTAAATTTGATCGAAAAAAAACACATGGCCTTTTCCACTGAAGCCATAAAACGAGCTATACAAAGCCTTAACATTGGTAACTAGACAACAAACTATGCGCTATGAAGTTATATTGAATTTTAAAACTGTAAACAGAACATATTCTAAGGTCTTTAGTAACAGAATATCAAACCTTGTCTGACAAAAATGTAAGCTGCAATATTGACAAACGTGTGAATAGCCCAGTAATATGCTATAGAAACATGGCCTATAAAATAAACTGATGAATTTATTATAAATTATTGTATTGTATTATAGTATTGTATTATTGTATTGTAACATATACCCAGAATGAATCATAGTAAATACATACCGACACTATGATGTGAAGACGTCTATGTATATTAGAGTAAATGAGCTTTAGAACTTTATATATTTCATATGAATATAAGTTATTAATTACGTACTTGGCCATTATAACCATATGTCGATATTGGTCGCCAAAGACCACCTCCCACAGTTAACGTTTTATGTTGCGAGCTGGCGTCAGTCAAAAACATCAAACTGTAATAAGAAAGCCAATACTTCATCCTTTTCCTTTTAAAAGAAGTCTTTCTCTTATCCGATTTCCTACTGATGGTTCCGTTTCGAACTTTTCTTTAAACAGTAATATCATCTTGTATATTCTCGATATCTTCATTTTCTCCGCTATGTTGCTGTCGTGCTATAATGCTTGTTATTCTATCTAGAACGATATTAACCAATTATGTACAATATAAAGGATTGAAAGTTTAACGCAGAACTATCTCTAGAAAAGTTCCAATGGTCGTTCATCGTTAATCTTACCTTATATCGTATCTGTAGTAATTTATAGTTATTTTTGTACTCTGAGAGAGCCCCCATCTTGCCTCTCTCTTATGAGTACCTGTGAGTAAGAGTTATTTTTCGCTTGATCCCCAGACCAAAATTCATTTTCGCTGTTAATGTTGGATCTAAAGTAGACACAGTACATTAAGTAATGTCGCTTCCAAAATTCTGGAATTATAAAAGGCACTTTGTACTTTATAAGCGAAGTATCCAAACTAAAAGCATATAATGATTGAAAGATGATCATTATTTATTACAAGCAGTAACAGCCTAATACCTAACTTCTCTGCTTGAGTTCAATCCTAAAAATATTTGAAAAGAAAAGCTATAAATGCTCTTCCATATATAAATGGAATAAAATATAATGTAAAATAAGCATTAGTTTTTTACTACATCATGAAATTATTTGTATTTACAAATGTATTATAATATAATATATAAATACTTTGTAAAAAGTTGTTTAAACAATATTAAAGGTAATTATATAAAAATCGCGTTTTGTTTCTTAGAATGCTTTAGAAAATTGTAGACGAGAAAAAATCAAGACCCCACTGATAAGGATAGATAGGCATTTAAAATAAAATAAGTGAAACATGTGAGAGTGCTGTGAAAATGTTTTAAGAAAAAAGAAACAACAAAATGGCGATTTTTCTATTTGTTCGTTCGTGTTCTTAATCTTCGTTCTCCGAAGACTATAAATTCAATAGTCGAAACATCTTTGTAGCTCATTTCGATTTCGAATTGAACTGAAACGGTATGAATTAAATTGAATCGGGTGTTTAATTATTTTTCAAATTTTTTAAATTAAAATTGTGCAAATAAAAAATTAAGGAAATTAAAACTATTTTGAAGAATTAAACTGTCGATTAAAAGTGTAAACGCATCTTTTAGTGCGTTGAAGAAAAACTGTGAACTGAAAATCTCTTACAAAACTTATCTCAAATTTTATTGAGGAATATTTAGTTTATATTTTTTTTATATAAAAGTTTTTTGAATGGTTGTACTACAAAAACCTAAAATTACAAAACATATCTCAACTGAAAATTATCTACAACAAATATTGTTGTATCTACAAGACTGTGAAGAAAAACATTGTGATTTTTTAATTGAAGATATTCGTTTAGAACATCTATTAGATCATTGTAAAGGTAAGTTATAACTTATTTATTATTCATTATTAAGTTAATGTCATAGAAAACGATATAATAGAAAAGGATAAAATTGAAGACTATAACGCTCTCCTCATATATATACAGATAAACTTCATTTATTTCTATGTAATTCTATTAACCGGCTACATCGATGAATAGAGAAATGAATAGAAAGATTTTTTTGTTTCAAGTTTTAATTCTATTGAACTTGATATGTCTTCAAAGGCTCTCTAAGAGAACATACAATTAAATAAACCTCACATATTTGATATCGATGTCATAAGTAATATTATGTTTTTAATTTACTTGCATACATATAGTATATACACATCCATGTAATAAACAAACACATTAAAAATATAAATAATTAAAAAATGTTAATAATTCTATTAACTGATATTTTCAATTTAGTTAATCTGATCACAGTTAATCTGAGTTTGCTTTATGAAATTTTTCATAAGTATCGGTACTTTTTAAGTCATATCCTAAAAGAAACCGAATATAATATACATATATTTCATAATTCTATGTAGAACAACATACATACATTCATCTATATATATATATATATATATTCGCCTGTGCGAATCGTGAAGTAACATAAGCATTACTTTCACAGAACTACGTTCCTAGATACATAAGAAAGAATATATAAATCATGCAACCCTTAAAGCCTATACAAACAGAATACTATTGAAATTTAACAATTAAAAATAAAAATATGATTAATTAATTTAATTATTCTACAGCTGGTTTATGATTTCGTTCTAATATAAACACAGAAAGTGAACTTGTTAATAAAAAACTTTCACAGCAAAGTTTTGTACTCCAGAAAAATATGCGAACATAAAAGTCAAGTACGGCTTTGGGTCAGTTGGTTAAGGTGCACTGACTCTGAGCTTCAAATTTGACAGGGCACGGGTTCGATTCCTGGTACTTGCAGTGTCAAAAAAATATTTGGGAATGCTCGAAACAGCTGCATGGCCAGCAAAAAATTAAATTAATTAAAAAATTATAAAAAAGAGTTTTTGTTGTTGTAGTTCACTATTTTTAGAAAAACCTCTTTAAATAAATCCCAATTTAAAATATTTACATAATTTTTTTAAATATTTTAACTTTTCTTTAATATAATGATTACACTTGAATCTAAAGATCTTTAAGCTACAAATATTATCTGCTCTAAGTTCTCATTTAGATTTTAGTATACTTCAAAAGAATTCTTATCATTCAAGAGTCTAAAACCTCAATAAGCAATAATTTGTGTTTGAATGATTGTATGTATATAAGATTGTATGTATATTAGGAATGTATATTATTGTCTGGAATATATTATTGCCATTATTCTTAGTTGCCATTCTTCTCAACTCTCAAGCTTTTTTTTACTATAGATAATTTTCTAATTGTTTCCTTAGGAAAATTATAATAAACATTTTTTTGTTTATACTAAAACTTTTTATCACTTCGTTTATTGTTGAAATTATTGACTCTAGTTAGTGTCAATCAGCACCTCTACTCTGTGGGTGGGTCTGTTAGTGTCCCACCGATAATTTTGATAAGTGGTTATAATTATGTCAAATTACTTTAAAATATCTCCAAAATACTATTTTTAAATGTTCGCAATATCATACTTATGATCCTTATTAAGCTTATAGCTTTGCTAGTCATATCTAGCAAATGCATATGGTCTCAACAAGCATGTGCATTTTAGTTATCGAATAATCAAAGGCTTCATTGATGATTTCTGGCCTAACAGCCTCAATTGAATACTTTAAGCGAGATGCATCTTAAACGAATGTACGCTCATATTTAAACTTTTAAAATCTTTTAAATAGAAAATATTATGTTAAAAATAGATTTTACAAGCTAATCTTCAGTTATTACAATTCAGAAGGTAGAGTATAAAAATAATCCAACCTTATCACAGTACAAGACATTTTTGAAGATACGAGTATTTTATTTTATTACAATAAAGCTAGTTAGATCTATTTTTCTTTTACTGTTGGCACTTACACAATACACCCGGCATATAGGCGCGATTACTACCGGTTTTTTTTATCATTTTTATCATTATTTTTTTATGTTTTAGCTGATAAGTTCTTATAGGGCCAATGAACTCATATTATGAAATAAGTTTTTTTAAACTAAAGTGCTCAAGTGCACTGGCTCAAATAGCTTCAACATAATAATTAATAAAATTTAATAAATAAATTTTAAATAATGAAAAATCATTATATGAAAAACCATATCAACCATGTATTCATTTTTACAATTAAAAATATATGCCTTACCAAGAATTTTATATTTATAGAATAAATGAGAGTATTTTAATATTTTTGTGGATGTGTAATACCAAAAGTCTATCTGGATACACAAATAATTTTTGTTCATAGTTCCCGAGAACGAAGTCGGATTTTAAGACCAAATATAAATATTGTTATATTGTACGTAGAATAGCTTACGTGATCAATTATATTAATAAAATTATAATTATTAAATTTAATGAAAGTTTATTTTTATATTTTATCAGTTAAGGAAGTAATGATTTACTTTAAAAAGCGAAGGGAAAACATTAATTCTCACAGTTTAATTTTTATTTTAAAGCGATTTACAAGAAACATTTTTTATTGAGCACAGGGATGTTACAAGAGAAATTTAAATGACTTTGAACACCCGACGGGTATTTAAATGTATTATAACAAATTATTTTTTATATGAGATTTTTTATATTTATTGGTTGTTATAGAAAGTTTTAAAATGAAATATTAATATGTTAAATATGTCATATATCTTATATTCTCTTCTTATAGATTGTGCAAAAATGGCCGCAATACCTCAGGGAGCTTTCGCAGCTTGCAAGTTACGTGAAAATTATCGAGATCGAGATTTAATAATAGCTCGCATGAAGTCTAGTGCTGATAAAAATGATGCCAAGAACCTCAACTCTAATAAGAAATGTTAGTGTTAATCAAATCAACTGTACTATAAACTATATATTATTTTTAAATCATTTTTATATATTCATTTTTAGTAATGGAATACAGCCCAGTAAAATATAATAGCAAACTAATGAACTCAATTTGGGGATTTTACAATCGTTATTCTCCTCACAATATCAAAAGTAATGACTACGAGGTAAATGCTGATGGCTACCAAAAGCAACAGTGGTAATTATTATATATTCACTAAACATTTTTTGTAAATTACTAATTATAAATTTTTTCATTTTATTTTAGTGTTAATAACGCTGTTGCATCCTATGCCATTGCTCAGAATTTAGCAATGGCCCAACGCACCGGTAAGGAATGGTGCTTTTTGGAAAAGAGAAATTAAATTTTTTATTTTAAAGTTCAATTTTTTTTTAAAATACTTAAAAATATGGTACTGATATATAAATACGGAATATTTGAAATTGAATTAATATTGTAAAATATTTACATTTTTATTTCAACAAAATAAATAAATTGGCAAATACAATATTATGAAAATTGTTTTTAAATTAGAATTGTTTGTTAAAATTGAATTAAATGTAACAATATATTAGCCATATTAGACAATAGGACACTGGAGCTGGTCTACCTTGTGGTATCCCCTGCAATGCGTGTCTACCAGCTTTCAAAGAAAGAACACCAGAACAGCTGATGTGTCTATGTTCACGTCTGCCCAGAACTACGCTTAAGTTTCTGGGGGACCCCTTCTTCAACCCACTCGACGATATCTCTAGCATTAGCATTGGCCAGATTCTTGTGTTATTAAATGCCTCTGGCTGGTTTCAGCTTGACCTTCGCTCTACTACTCACTATTACGAGGATTTGTGGATTCAAAACGGTTTTCTTTCTTCTTCCCTCCACCACAACTAGCTAACTAACATTCTATTAAGATTAAACTTCTAAACTCTTATCTGATAAATTGTTACAGACATTTTGAGATATCACGGAAGGTTACTGGATAAAGTGCAGTAATTATATGTGTTATAATAAAGTAGTTTATTGGAATTTACAGGGAATTACCTGATATCTAAAACGCCAGTATTTGGCTTGCTACATAGAAATATACATTGCAGCAAAATATGAATACACCCATTTTCTACAATTTATTTCAGGGATCTCCGACTTGCATATCAGCCTACTCATTATGTGTGTTTTAGGTCACATTCATCACATCGGTCTGGCAAATTTTTTTAGAATAGGAATGACATACTCGGACATCAAGTTTTAACCCCACCTATAAATAACCGCATCAGTTAACCCCAGAACCCATAAAGGATTTTCTGGAATTCATTAAGTGCTCTCGATTTAAATACATAAATTTGACCGCAAAACAAAAGAAATTTAAAAGTTACGTCCTTATTTGCACAATGAATTGTTAAGTGAATACTTTATTTTTAATATCAGATATATAAAACATCAACAATTGAAAAAATTTGTAAATTTTAACACTTTAGTTCAAGAATACTTTCAGGCCAACTTATTGTGCCCATTTTCATAGCTGCCTGCTTTGTGCTCATAATAAGTTTATTTTTACCTTTACTTTTTTTACCTTTTGAATCAAACTTCTTCTTGTCGCTGCTTAAACCCTTACTCTGCTTCTCTAACGATTCATCCAAAGTAATGCAATCAGAAACCACGCTTATGTCAACCGACTTAAGAATACTGTCCGATACAAATACAGTGGCGTTCTTGAACTGGTCGCAATTAATGCAACTTTCTCCTATAATTTTGGACATATGCATATTCAAATTACCGGTAGACTTTCCAAGTACCTGAACCCTTCCACGCAAGCCTCTAATATCAATATTTGACTTCTTGTTAGCAGTTACCTTAGCAGATTTATGTAGATTATTAAGAGTGAGGTTGCCTGTATTAGTTTCGAAATTTGATTCTTCCACAAAACAAGACTTTGTTGAAATATTCCCAGCATCAGTTTTACAGAACATCTTAGCACCAATTACGTTGCCTAATGATATACAGTTGGAGTCCTTAGTATCTATTTTAATAACTCCACCTAGCAGAACATGCTCGGCTGTTACTGTACCACATTCAGTTGAAATCAGCATATTTTGAAAGCGTACTGTTCTGAGCATTATATTCTTTTCAGCACGTACGGTTAGTATATTACCAAAAATTCTAGCAATTGAAACTGAATCGGTAGAGTTAATGATTATGGAACAATTATGCGGAATGTGCATTTCGCATAAAATATCAGCATTTTCATCATTTTTTTGAATGTTCACTTCAACATTCTCTTTCTGGTCATCGACACAAATAAAAGCTTCAGCTTTGCGATCCTCCTCACAACCCCCGTCATCTGCTCCTGATGACTTGTCAAAGAGATTCACCTGGAAGTCATCACAGTTAAGGTTGGCATGTATACTGAAGGAATCAATAGTAGTAAATACATTGCTCTTTATTTTGATATGTGCAGATGGATGAACGTTGTCTTTAAAATTCTGTATAACCCGTGGTTTCGGTTTGCAAAGAGCCGGAATAGAGGTATGCAACTTCTTCCAGTTCACACCAGGTCTGGCAACTGCACGAAATAATAATTTAAACATTTTCAAGATTTTCTTATAAAAAATAGCAATAACACAATTTCAGTGTTTTTTTTTTTTAACAAACTTATATTTGATTTACATTTAAATATTTTGATATAAAAAAAATTTGTTTCATTTAAGAAAATACAGCTTGCTTTGATTTCGAATATTTAAAAAATCGAATATACTCGTATATGTATGCATTTTGAAGAGAATATAATATATCTTAAATGCAACAGTTCTCCATGAAACTTAAAGAAAACTTAAAGAACACAATTAAAATATGAAATTGATCTGATATATAATCGTATATATCTTAACTAGTAGGTTAGGTTAGGTTGTGGCAGCGATCCATATATGGTATATATGTCCAATGTGTTTCGATGCAAGGAAAAACGCAGAGGTATAAAACCATCTTGAACCTTTAGCGAAGCTTATAATCTTATTTAAGGGGAAGTCGTGCAGTTGACCTAGACCCTCATGCTGATGCATGCCAACTAGTAAATTTTGTAATATTTTTTCAATATATAAAATATTTTGAAAAACGTATAGGAAAATATACTTTTTTAAAATGAATACATGATTATTTTTGTAACCCAAAAATTCTTATAATTATGAAAGACGCCTTTTTTTCTTCAAACTCTCAAAACATTTTTTGCTATAGGCCTGCTACATAACATATTTATGTATTTAAAAAATTCCGACAATAATTTTTACAATACGTACTAGCCTTATTTTTCAAAAGATGTATTTAATATTATTTCGAATTATTTTATATACGGATTGTAGATAAAACATTAAGACTATCGCTAAAGTTTCAAAACAAATATTGATATTTGCTAACTCTTACATTTAACTGAGAATTAATAAAAATTGAATTTAAATTAATATTTAAATATATTTTTTAATATTTATACAAAATCACTTAATCATATACACAATAACAAAAATCTTTAATTTAAATAACATGACTCGTATGTTGGTACCATATATTTAATATTTATGAAAGCATCTTCTCCGCCATGCAACTCAAGAACTTGTAAAGTTTCATCTATAAGATCGCCCAAATTCATATTATTTTTCTGTCCATAGTCAATTTTATCACCGCAATTTACTGAAAATAACCAGTTATGATATTACAATATTGAATGAATAATTTTTTTTTAAAGTAAGAAAAAAAAATACATGTTCGAAAATATGTTTTTCGAAATAAAAAAATGTTTCATCCTAAAATTCCAAATCTAATAGCTAAAACTAAATTGATAAAAAAATATCTAAACGACAACTATAATTATAATATTATAGTACACCGCTCGTTTAGACTATTTTCCATCCTTCTTCTATATCGTCCAATTCATACACGGTAGTTTTATTTCGAAAAGGTGAGAGAATCAGATAACATTTATTCTCCAAAAACCTATGAATTTAGATACTTTAAAATTTATCTAACAATTATTTCGAAATACTTTTGCTTAATATAGTATCCACTTAAATAAATTAGAGAATTGTATTAACATAAAAGAAGAATGAGAAAGTTATTGGGCAGAACACAACAAATAGTTTACTTACTTATATCAAAACTTATATAGCATATAGCATGAGTAATTAAATATTGTATGTCAAGGAACTATTCGAAAATATTGAAAATTAGAGTTTTACTTACTATTCTTAACTTTATAAGCATTGAACATTGGCAGTAATTGCCTATAGAATGGCACTAAAGCTGGTCCAACTAAGTCTGAAGACATAACGAGTTGTTGTATGATTTTTAAAGTAGTGCACATAACTTCCAAATTTTTAGTGCTTAATGCATCTGGAATCAAAATTTCGATTAAAAAACACTGATAAAAAGTCAAATGAAAAACTTTTTGCTAACTCAATAAAATATCGCAAAAAGTTTTTAATGTTGCGTGCGAATTTACTAATAACGAAACTTTCATCAGTAAAATTTAACACTTCTATTTAATGACCTATTTGTGGTATTATTAGGCGTATTAGGCGTATTAACCTCACTTTTGAAATATCTACAATCAAACTTACTTTTCAAAGGTAAAATCAATTGCGGTATTACCGACTGTATTTTACCACCGCCAGCTACCAATAAATCGGAAACACCTTGGCGTGCATAGGTTTTATATGGGTGTTGCGTTTCCGAGAGCCCATCGAAAAAAAGTGGCAAATATAGACTGTAATCGAGTTTGTCGATGTCAACCTAAAATTGAAAATAGACAAAAATAAAATTCATATCAATAATTGCATATGCGAATCAAAATATGAAATACATGACATTTTGAGCGATATGTAACGGCCTTGAACCTCTCTAAATGTGCTTAGAAAAATTTATTCGTCATAATGGAGTTTTACTTTTCATTTATTTTGACTAACAAATATTATAATGCAATAATTTTATTTTCAATTGCGTTAATATAAGTGATAATAAGCACGCGATTCATATTAAAAGGCATTTTTCTACTTGATTTAAATTCTTTTTTTGGTACTTTCGGTTGATATACTGGCACCGATGATTCAATTACAGTTACGACTCCCAAGCCGGTTTTCTGCCACCTATTCTTGTGCCTTATATTTACATAATAGTTTACAAGTTTTTTGTATGCAAAATTTGTTTCAAGTATTTATTTACAATTATTTATTTTATTTATCACAGTCAGTAATAAGTTAGGGTTGCCACAATAAGTTATAGCGAAGAAACTCTTCAACTTCATTTATTATTTATATTTTATATGCGTATATTTAATACAAAGATATTTTTATTTACACATTTTAATAATGTTCAACTCGCGATTTAACTAGAGTTTTTCGGTATAGTAGCTAATAGTAACTCACTTTAGTCTCATTATATGGAATATAACAGCCATATATTGCTACAGAGACTTGCACAATTTTTTTTTGCTACTGTAATTTAATCGTGAGATGGACATTAAGGCCGTCTGCGAGTTCGAGTAAATTGATAGTAAATTGAGGGAAATTGTAAATTATGTCGGTATGGCAGCGAATGTTGGTATTTACCAGAATCGAGTAGGGTAAATTAGATAAAAATTATGTAAATTAGGTATTTACCACTGTGAAAATTTTATAAGATATTTAAAAAAAAAATTTTTGTTGTTGTTTCATTTCTGTTCGAAAACCTCTTTATAAGATATTTAATAAATAAGTAAATAAATCTGAAAACTTTTAACCAAAAATAATAAATAGGTACAATAAATAAATAAATAAATATTTACATAAGTGCAGTACAAAAAATTCCTAAGAAATTTCAATTTACTTTACCTCAATTTAATTGAACTCGCACATGACCTAAATTTAAATTTGATAAATCAAAAAATAAAGAATTTTATCTGTAATTTACTACATATATATATATATGAATATATATAGTGATTAAATTAATTCAAATATTTACATAAAGTAATTAAAATATAATATAAAATGTGTAATGTGTGTGAAATAATTATTTATAATAACATTAAATTTTAAAATTAGTTTTTAAAAATATTTTTTTTTTATTCAATGCTTGTTTGAATATAGATTTTATGTTCGCGTGAAAATCTTTAAAAGAGATTTGATTAAATTGGATTTAATAGACTCGCGTAAACGTAGTCATTTTTTAATTGTCTAAACGTAAATACATAATGTAATATTTTACACTGCAGCTGGTAACCTTAACATATTTTTTCAATCGACTGAATCGGCTGGCATTACAAAAAGAGTTACCCGATTCTTTTGCATAAAAAAATTAAATATTAATCATGCATGAACACATACCACATTTTTATTTCTTTTTCTGATCTAAAGGAGTATGATTTAAAATGAAAGAGAATCGTGTATGTCAAAGGCACCTACAATAATATGCGTTACAAACACACTCATATAAACTTATGTATATAAAAATTTCGTGGAGTGACATGCAAGAAAATATACATGCGTGTTTGGATGAGTTTCATATCGTTCATTAAATTTATTTATATGTAATTATATAAAGTGGAATATTTTTTTTTAAATAAGAAATATATCAAGTGGTTATTAATATTATTAATTTATATTCTGAAGTCTTTCTAAGCAATTCTGAGTAAAGGCACTGAAATGAAATTATTGGAATGGAGTATTTGTAATATTGTATTTTAATATTAAAACTTTCTTTGTTAGGTCTACACTTTGATAAAACTACAATAAATCTATACAACTACAAGAATTAATAATAATTTTGTACATATATAGCATATGTATATAGGAACATGAGGGTTAAGAAGTTATATATTTATTAAACTATATAATTAGTAATCGGCATGCCGTATCTGAAATTGCTCCAAATTTACTCTCGATCAATTTAAAATTTTTGTGTTAATTTAGTACTAACGTCCATTTCAATAAAATTTGGACATTGTAGGAAAGTTTTTTATACTAGTGTTATTTCAATCCTTCATGCGAAATGGATGTTAGTACTAGATCTTAGAAGTGAAAAGAACGAAATATAAACTAAGAAAACATAAAGAAATATATATATTAGAACTAAAAACTATTTTTGTTAATTTTAAATTTTCTGAAATCGAGATTAAAATTCATTTTTAAATCAAATTTTCAATATTCGTTAACAATATTATATGTTATTAAACAGTCAGTGAATTATTTCCTTGAGCCAAAAATGAGTATTAGTAAGATTTGTTTAAATATATTAAATAAAAACTTTCACGTAATAGAAATAAAATTAGGAGTAAAGAACAAATAACAGACTTCCTAAAAATAGTTGATATTAGTTAATTACAAAAAAATTTACACGGTCTTATTTTACAGTTATTTTCTCAAGTTGATCCAAAATTAAAATATAAGTAATATATATAATATTACTTACAGTCCAACCAATTTTGTCACCACCACACAGATATTCCATTTTTATAGGCAAATCGCCACGATCGAAATACATACGAAATGATGTGCTACCTCGATTTTGTTTCGATGAATCATTTTTATACGGGTTCAGATCAAAGGTAGAAAATGCTTTGCTTTTAATAGTTTTCAATTCTATAATTTATATATATAAACCATTATATTGAATATACATAGGTTATAAGTAATTTTATTATATATATACATATGTAACTTACTTTTTTGAGGAGATTTTTTGTTGCCGGTACGAGTTTTATTTTGATTAACCGTACTAGTTTCCTCTAGTGGGCCTTTAATAACAACTGTGTTCTTCTGGCACGATTGTATTGAGAATGGGGGTACAACTCGTGGATTAATGTTAAAATTTGCACTAAAATCTGGGCGTGTCGGTATTGTATTCGCTGATTTTGAACGAGTTTTTAAAGTTATTATATTTCTTGTATGTTCATGGGGACGTGATGATCTAAAGTAAGAACCACGCACTGTAAAGGACATGCCTTCCAAACGGGTCTGGACCTTTTCACCGTGAAATAGAAAGTATTTGTAAAAATTTTTTAAAAATATTAGTGAACTTACAGAAAGTAAACAACGAACTAACGGAATGAGTTGCTTGAAACTAAGGAATTTTCTAGCCCTGAGCAAGAAATGGCGTACATTGTCACAACAATATGTTGCTAGGTTCAAGCACGCAGAATCTAATATTATGAAAACAAACTTATTTTGGCTCAGCAATTTTTATGAATGGTTAAAGCAAAAGAAATGAAATATGCTTGATATGTTTATTTACAAATAATTGTACAGTACACGCTCGACAATTTAATTTTTAGCATTACAGGTTCTACAATGACTACAGTTGACAAAAATAAAGTTATATTTTCGAGACTTTTATGTTTTTCTTTTAAGGGAAATCCCCCAATATTTCGTATGAATGTTTCGTATAGAAGAAAACAAAAAAATTTTGAAGTTAAATGTTATCAGTTTATTTGTGGCTGGTGTGGGGTTTGCTGTGAAATATTTAAATATGTAAAAGATTTAAAATATTTTAAAGTCGACGATTGCTCAAAAACTAGACATTTTAAAAAAACTAGAAAGTAGAAATTCCATAAAATAAATTTGCCTTAATTAAAACTTGAAAAAGTCTTCGGGTCTACTCACCCATTTGTTAAGTGAGAAGGGTACAAATTTAAAAAATTTTGATTTAAGAAAAGCTATACAGGTTTTCGCTCAGTCCTGGGATAAAACATCCTCATCAAATATAAAAAAATCTTGGAATGCCTTGCTGAAAATCAATAGCGAATGGAGCGAAGAAGACAACATGCCATTTAATATATGAATAAAAAGATTTTAGTTTATATTGGTTGCACACTGTTTTTTAAATGAAATTAAGGTTCGATTATCGCGAAAATTCGGTTTCCGTAACAGTTCTAATTTTTAATTAGTCTTGAATACCAACCGTGCACTGTACTTATATTTATTTTTGAAGAATGAAATTGAAGTAATTAAATTACTTGAAATATAATATTTTATTGCGTATATTGTTAGCAAATGATTTTATTTTATTTTTATAGTTTATTTAAAATATAATGATTTAAAAAAATATGTTCATTGCCAATGTTGTGAGCAAACAGTTTTTTATTAATTTTAGAATTTATTTATTATTTTATTATATACTAACTGTGATTAAAAAGAAATTATTAAGAACATATATAATTATTTAATTTATTTGTTTATACTTAAATATATCGTATTATAATAATAAAAAAATATATAGTTTATTGCACACTTTACACATTGTACTAATTCTTGACACAAACCTGTCAGTAATGTCAAAAGAGTACTGCTTTATCGATGTTTCTTTAATTGTGAATTCGCTGCATACTTATACACATTTTTAGTCTATAAAAATTAGTTTTGTGCTTGCTATGTGTGAAGGTGGTTACGGAAGTATAAAGTATATAAATATTTCATTTATGTTTATCTTTAAAAGATTTTTATTATTAACTATTATTTGAAATAATAGAAGTGTTTAAATAAAATATGAAGTAATAACGCAAACGAATTAATAACGATATAAGTTATATATGCTCTGGTGTTTTGCACAACATATATAATTTACCATGCAACCAAAGAGTTGTCAAGTGTTGACACATTACTGAAATATATTTGTTTATATATTTTAATAAAAGAGTGTTAAATTGTAAGAAGTAATTATAAAGTAACAATGAACTTTGCTTATTTAAAAATATAAGAAAATAGTATTTATTTCACAATTTAGATATTGTTGTCAATGTGCAGTAACTGTGAATTGTACATACCGCAATGCATTATTGTGAATGCATTTTTTTCGCCGTAGTCACGTACACCAGTTTTATGCAGTAGGCTTAGTTTAATGGGCTTGCTTTAAAAAAAAATCAGTTTTTAAGTATAGCATAAAAGAAATATTATGTAAAAACTTGTGCCGATTGGAAATAAGAGTTAAATAAAATTATTTAAATGCATAATTGAAGTGGAATGAATATTTAATGGGTAAGTGTTACTTAAGATGATATTTACAAATTTTAATTATATCTAATATTGTTTATATTAAATCACATTGTTGATGGCATCCATACATGTGTGCAGAAAAATTGTATCGATTTTCCAACTAAACCCTCCCAATATGTGTGTCGCATAAAGTTTTCGTTAAATTGGTTTTGTTTTTCTTTTAATCAGGTTTCGTTGTTTATTTTCTATTGTTATAATCCCATTAAGTTTTTCTTATACGAAAAGTGAGTGCAAGTTTTGTTTTCATATATTTTGTTTGCCCGCTGTATTGCATATTGTTTGTATGTACGGCAGTATTTGTGGTGGTCTCTTGGTAATTTTATTTGGTTTATTGCTTGCATTCGCTTCGTTGTTCTTTTGCACATCTGCTCAGTTTTGGTAGTTTTTTCTTTTATCAGCCATATTTTAAATCGGGTTTGCTTCTCGTCCTTTGTGAACTACAAAAAATAAACAAAAAAAATAAAACGAAGTTGTTAGAATAATCCTACAATAAAAACCATTTTCACAATTTTTTGATTCGTTTACTTCATTGCAAATAACATGTGTGTACATACATATATACAAATAAGTTCAATACGTGTAGTTGTTTAATATTGCAATTAAATATTAAAATAAAATTTAATATATTAATGTTAAATTATAGAGTCTTGTGTTGGCTTATAATTTTGGTGGTTTTTTGATTATTTTTTCTACTGAAATATGACACAAACAACCTACAACTTATCCTTTTACAATCTGACTCCTTTCTCAGAAATAATTTTTTAAAATACTAATTCAATTTCCATTTTGTTAAATAATAGTTTGACAACTCTTTCCAATACTAACGAAATACTAACACCTATTTTACACCAAAATTTACATAAATCTCCACATAAAAAATTTTTTTCGTCGATGTACAAATTTTGTGGAGACATCAAATTTGAAAACAATATAGTCATAAATTACCTAATACATTTAGTAAATAACTTTTAAAAATATAAAAAGGGCAACAACATCAATTTAATTTAATTTACTCCAAAAAGCCCAAAATCAACTTTTCATGAGAAATTGGTTCAACTCACACACAGCTTCAATACATTTCAAAGCAAAATATAAAAATCTGTATAAATAACTTTTATATACCACTTAAGGACAAAAACATGGATAAAATATAATTTGAGATTTTAATGGTAAAGCACCTTACCCTTGGTTGTGATCTCTTTGTTCCCTATACTCCCCTATTCCATACTTCATCCTTTTTCTCATTCCCAAGCATTAATATCATTTAGAATTTCTGTAATGTATAATAGATTTATTAAATTTGTCAATGTATTTATAGCACACAAAAATATATATATATAATCTTGATCAGTTCCAACTGTCGTAACTCTCGTCTCAATACTAATTTCAATTATAATTAAGACATCAACTTTGCTGACTCAATTCATACTTAAATCAGCTTTGAAACTTAAGTTACATTGTGAGATGGACAATTGTGAGATTGTTTGGAATATACATATGTATGAATACAATTTTGCATATAGTTTTTTAACAATTGTTCTTGAACATTCGTGGAAATGACTGAAATTAGTTGGCTATATTCTCTCCCCCGTAGCTAAACAATTGAATCTAATTTTTCTTATTTATGTTTGTAATCTATATGGACAAAATTTAAAATCATTGCCAAATTACAAAGTGATGGTTCAGATCCACATTTGGAAACGTTTTTTCAGTTTTTGAAGTTAAGTAATTAGCTAACGTTACACATTTTCAATAAAACTTAGATTAATCTGTTCTAATTTGAATACAGTGATATCTATATAACAAAAATATATGGATATATATAAATCTAAATCTATATATAAATTAATGGTCATAATTACAAATTGGTGAACTACTTAAGTTTTTTTGATTCATATTGAATATTTTAGTATTTTTTCTTTGATTTTATAAAAATTAATTTCTTTGAGATTCTCATTCAAAATCTACATATCTAAATTTACATCACTCAATCAATTATACTTTAGTATATAATAAGCTATAGATGACTCACTCCTAAAACAATGGAATAAAATAACAGAAACCCATGTATTTAAAGATAGGTATTTAAATATTATTTGTAATTAAGAGTACGTGCCGCTAACATGTGTAATAAACATATAAAACAACCCTAAAGAGAGTTATATATAAGTAAGATAGATTATAACTTAGTCAGAAATTATCCTTCACCGGCTATGACAATGAATAGTTGAATAAAACCTTGACCTCAGACAAAAATAAAACAGAGAAACTTTGTTAATTTTTTTTTATTGAAGTTCAAACTTCTACTGTTTCTAAGCCAATATGAAGGGAAGCAGTTAATGGCCTTTTAGCAACCAAATGCTAATTTTTGTGTACCGTAGACAAAACAGGATGTTTCCATTTAGATACGGATGAGGTCAATGCACTGACTTTTAACGTTAGATCGCTTTTTTTCTAAATGCATGCAGAAAAACATCTGCTTAATGCGCTCGTCAAATATTTATTAATAGAGACATTCCCGAAAAAATCATTATTAAAATTTTGATGCAAATTTATTTATGATTTATTAAAAAGCATTGAACTATTCTTTTTCTTGCACATCAAGGACACGAGAAATAATATTGCACACAGAGCGTATATAATGTATTTGTTATATTTGTTCGATCAAAATTTAAACGGAAATCTCATACCGTCACGCACGCAGATCGTAATCAATTTTACAATGGCTGCACTCTTTGATTTATTGAAAGGTAGAGATTTTCAATTGTCGATCTACATATGAAGGACTATCAAAACTTGTTTTGCATATTTGATGTCTCATCATCCTGTCTGCCTACCGGCAAGCAAGCCAAGGAACATTGTCACTGCCCTTTGAGGATATTAAATTACATTTTTTCTATAGAGTGTATCCAATTCAGACAGCACAACCTGGTTTTACTTTACACGTTCATTTGTTTTATTGCTCTCCTTTACAAACAAACATTTTTATATATAATATCAACCTTTCTGGTTTTGATCAAATATGTATTACGTACATATGTTATATATTATGTGGTTTCTATGTGATTACTATAGATAGTAAATAATTAAATGTCTCTGTTTAGTAAATAAAAAATCATTTAATATAACGATCCTTTAAAATATATAATTATTACTTACTCATTTTTAAACAAAATTGTTTAATTCTAATGGATTAATTAAAAATATAAGTATAAAATAAAGGATAGTTACGTTTCATATACGTTTCATATCATATAGGTGCTATATTTGTGGATCTGCAATGTTATATTCTCATAAAAGATTCAATAGATTGATTGGCTTAATACGCTGTTCAGAATGAAAATTTTTAGATGTTTGCAGAATGCAGAAATTAAGCGGTATGGTTTTTTTTTATTTTTCTTATTTTGTAATATGAATAGCAAAATAAAATATAAAATTTAATGTTAAAATTACTTTTCTGAGTTAATGTCTTTTTAAATTACAAATACAGGTAGTAATACGTTGTATATAATGGTTTCAATTTAGTGATGGGTCTCGGTCTAAGCCTTTTAGTTAAAATTAATTGAAATAATGATATAGACATTAAAAATAGAAATCGTACTTAACACGTTCTTGCATTCTTACGACAGCGTTAGATATATCATAAAAGATCATTCTATACTAAAACCAGAAAGTGGTAAAACAATTCCTAGATACTTTATGATCATTATAGCATTTATGCCGATAGCTCCAAACTAGATAACAAAATTGGTTTTGGAATTTACTTAGAACTTTCCCCAAACTGCAAATGTGCTTGGAATTAAAACATAAAATATTTTAAAATTGATATTTGATTTCTTATTGATAGCCAAACAGTAATTATAGCTTTGCACTCTATAGAATTCATACATCAAAAACTGTCGTATCCCATCCTGCATCTCTAAATGAAATCCGTAAACAAATAATGTATTCGTCATAAAGACACCAAAACATAGTGAATGTTAAGACAATTATATAGCAGATGAGCTGGTAGACAATTGCGTAGCCATGAACTATATTCGTTATTATATATTTACTTACCAATCAATACTAGTAAATTTATTGTATACTGTTCTTTCTTCAAAAATCAAAAATTAGGTCGCAAAACGACATCTATTGCGCCAAGACCACACAAATCTGACTGCCTATAAACCCATCTAGAACTTAATACTTAATATTTAACAATTTCATTTTTAATAATCTCAAGACTTGAATTCTTAACTAACAATCTTTACGGCCTCATCGGAGGTGAGAAGGTAGAATTATCAAGATGTCACTCACCTATTGTACAAATGTGTACCATTATCTACAATGTGAAATAAAACTACAGTTCTTAAAAAATATTTTTCGAACATCTCAAAAAATATCGAAAACTAATATCGGAATTCTCACAAAATTTTCTAAGAAATTTAATTAGTTAAATTGATGCGAGCTACTGTTCAGGAATAGAAAAATCGCGTGTACATAAATTATTTAAGATTTTTATTACAAGATATTCCCTACCTGATGATCTAAAAAGACCCATGTACTTGAGACCATATCGGGAATAAAGGTATTTAGTGGAGTAATGTAATCATAGTTAAATGTTCTGTTCTAAACACAACTTGTGGCATTCAAAAATATTATTCTCTGTAAATAATACTAAATAAATAATAAATAGAATTTTTTTTATCAATTATTCGAATTTTTATCTACTATGTCAACCTAATCTGCTGTTCTATCTGCTTTTAGGTTAGTAAACGCTTTGAGTTGAATTCGCGTTAGGTGTGACGTTTCGCACGTATCACTTTTATTGTTTGCAGAAATGATAATAAATGCAATTTTTGTTTATATATATGTTTGAGTATAAAAATATATCAATCAAATTCATTTCGCATTATTGCAATAAATGTCAGATAGAAGAACGCTTTCACAGCTGCAGATTAAAGTCACTGTGTTGTTCTTAAAGTGTAACCAAATGCATA